TGGATGGATGGACGGATGGACGGACAGACAGACAGACAGACAGACAGATAGACGGATAGATGGATGGATGGATGGATGGATGGGCGGGCAGATAGATAGATAGATAGATAGATAGATAGACAGACAGACAGACAGACAGACAGACAGACAGACAGACAGACAGACAGACAGACGGACGGACGGACGGACAGACGGACGGATGGGCGGGCAGATGGATGGATGGATGGATGGATGGATGGATGGATGGGCGGGCGGATGGATAGATAGATAGATAGATAGATAGATAGATAGATAGATAGATAGATAGATAGATAGATAGATAGATAGATAGATAGATAGATAGATAGATAGATAGATAGATAGATGGATGGATGGATGGATGGATGGATGGATGGATGGATGGATGGATGGATGGATGGATGGATGGATGGATGGATGGATGGATGGATGGATGGATGGATGGATGGATGGGCGGGCAGATAGATAGATAGATAGAACAGATAGATAGATAGAACAGATAGATAAAACAGTTTAGCATACACTCTTTAACATACTACAGTCTAGAACCTACGAATTCTATTTTCGAATACTATTTAGGATGTATAGTATGTGAATTGGGATGCCCAAAAATAATAGAACAGACAGAATAATTAATGGTGACATAGAATGACAGGAAGACAGAACGATGGATAGAACGTCAGAACACTAGAGCGATAAATAGAAAAGTAACCGAATTGACAATACCCCAGAATGAGAACAACAGGCCAAATGATGAAAAACAGAATAAGAAAGTAGACTTTAGACAGAAGGAGAGAGTTGTTCTCTTACATGGGTCAGTGTGGTGTCCAGGGGCCGAGTTTAAGAGCATCATGGCAGTGGCAGCATCAATATCAGACTCTGTAGAAGACATTAAACACACAGCGGTCAGTCACTGAGAGTCTATGGGGGAAATCAAGGGGCTAGAGATTCTTCGTTTCCATGCAACCCTTCAGAAGCGTTCAATTATTCATTATCAACCAGACAGAGCAGACACTGAACACAACTGATGCCAGACTCAAGGTGACAGAGGAAGACGCTTGATAAAAAAAATCAATAATTTAAATATTATAGCCTACATACGAGAACAACAAGCAAACAAACTAAAAAAATAAATAATCATAATAAAATGTCTGGGGTCTCAGGTTTCTGACCAAATTTATGATTTTGAAAGAAGACTTCAAAGGTTTTAAATTTGTTTAATAATTATCATCCTTGAAGTTAACAGTCTGAGTTATATAGCCATTTAGGGTTTTTATTTAGCTATTAAACACAGTGGGTATCTGTCACCTGGTTTTGTAAATAAATAATTAAATAAACAATTAAATGTGATTTGTTTGTTTGTTTATCTATTTTTATCACTACACAAATTGCAATATCAATGATGTAACACATCAGACATTTATAATGAGTTTATGCACTGTATTTTAAGGCTGTTGATTAAATTTCACATTTTTGTGGAAATGATTGTTATTTATAAATTTTGACATTTACAGCTTTTATATTTTTAGAAAATAAAAACTAAAACCAGACCTAAAGGGAGAGTTCAACCCAAAAATAAAAAATTCTGTGATCATTTATTTACCCTTTACATCAGGGGTCAACAACTATATTTGTCAGAGGGCCAGAGTTTTACCAGACAGTCTCCTTGGGGGCCGGACTGCCAAGAAGAAAATCAAATAAAAATCGAATTTTGGCTTAAAATGATGTTTAATGTTTATACTTTTTCCATTTCATTACAAATTGAAGGCATTTGATTCAGGCTCCCATCACCTATACCACAGTCAACCACTAGGAGTGATAGAAAATTCTCCACAAACGCGGTGAAAATACTGCCATTTGATGAGGCGGCCATTCAGAGCTAGCTGGCTGAAATTTAGGCCGCAGGCGATGTGAAGGCGGCTCTCCGGTCCTTTTGGGTATCTTGTCCAGAGACCTATGACACATTAAAAAGTCTGACAGCGGCCAAGCCTGATGTGAAAAAGTTGGTGTGAGAGGGGAAATGTAACTTTAGCCATTGATTAAGCACTGTTAGTAGCCCGTTTCAGCATTGTGATTTGAGTTCAAGTCCACTTAACGTTTCATTTGATGTGCAAACTTTATTTGTGACCTGTTTTGCTCTGGAACCAGGTTATTTATTTACCATGCTGTTTTAAGTTGTCCTGTCCTGTACTAAGGAGTCTGCTAGTTTCAAGCATGTTGTTGAGACTTAGAAATAAAAAACAAATGTTAAGTAAGGGCATGAGGAAAATTATTCCTCCCTTTTTTTTTTTAAACCTGTTTGAAACAATAAATGCTTAACGCCGCATAGTCTGTCCTCATTTCGGAGTGTAGCCTTAATATAGGCAAATGGTAGTTATTCTGACAAGAGACTCAGTTGTTGTTATTTTTAGTTGCTTTAATAGTGTGGACCACAATTTTCTTTTTGATCCTCACAATTTTGGAATCCAGTCGCGGGCCGGATTGAACAGCTCAGCGGGCCGGATTTGGCCTGCGGGCCGCCAGTTGATGATCAGTGCTTTACATGTTTCAAAGCTTTTTTGAGTTTGTTTCTTCTGTTTACATTTACATTTAGTAATTTAGCAGACGCTTTTATCCAAAGCGACTTTCAAATGAGGACAAGGAAGCAACTTACACAACTATAAGAGCAACAATGAATAAGTGCTATAGGCAAGTTTTAGGTCTGTAAAGTGTAAGAAGCAAAGCATTAGTAATTTGTTTTTTTTATTTTGTTTTTTTTTGTAATACAGTTAGCGGTGGATCCAGAGAGGCAATTGCAGATTAGGAAGGAAAGTGGAGACTAAATAGTTGAGTTTTTAGTCGTTTCTTGAAGACAGCGAGTGACTCTGCCGTGCTGATGCAGTTAGGGAGTTCATTCCACCAACTGGGCAGATTGAACGCGACAGTTCGGGAAAGTGACTTCTTCACTCTTTGGGATGGACCCACGAGGCGACGTTCATTCACAGAACTCAAGTTTCTGGAGGGCCGCAATAAAACAACAGAAACTGAGGCGGGGGGCACAAAACTGTCCATGATACACACACAAGCTCTTACAGTAACCAAGGAAACAGTGAATTAACTTTCTAGCACCACATACAAACAACTAAAAAACAAGTCTAAATGTACTTACACACTGCTGGTCTCGTTGCTAAAGTGCTTCTCCGAACACTAAAGAAGATATTTTGAAGAATGCTGAAAACCTGTAACCATTGACTTCTATTGTATTTCTTTTTCCTACTACGGAAGTCAGTGGTTACAGGTTTTCAGCATTCTTCAAAATATCTTCTTTCCCGTTCATATTTTTTGGAGAACTGTCCTTTTAACTGGCTGCTAGCACACTGGAACACATGCATGATTGCACTCCCTTCCAGATGAAATGCTTGTAATTTTACCAGAGACAGAAATAAAGAAACGGCTCACCTTTCAGAGAGCAGCCCTGGAGGAAGAGCTGACGTGTGGGTGAGAAGGCACTGGAAAGCAGAAAGAAACACAAATAATTATTAACATACAGGGGTGTGTGATATTTACCATCCGCTATAATGCTGTAATTGTTTTCTTTTATCATTGTGTGAGCTGACATTTTAGAGTAGGTCGCTCTACCTTGCAAAAAAAACAAAAAAAAAAACTAAACAAAATCCTTGACAGCTTGACTGTGATGAATAGAAAGCAGACAGATTCCAGAAGTTATAAAACCAGAAAATATGCTTTTAAGTCTATGGGCTCTATTTTAATGCTCTAAGCCAGGGGTGTCCAAACTCTGCCCTGGAGGGCCAGCGTCCTGCATATTTTAGTTCCAATCCCAATTAAACGAACCTGAACCAGCTAATCAAGCTCTTTCTAGGTATGCATGAAACTTCCAGGCAGTTGTGTTGAAGGAAGTTGAGCTAAGCTATGCAGGACACCGGCCCTCCAGGACCGAGTTTGGACACCCCAGTCTAAAGCGCATGGTGCAAAAGCAATACGGTCTGGAAAAATACGGTTTGTACACTGGCGCATGGTCTAACAAGGTTGTGCTTATTTTCCTAATGAGTTCTGGGTGTGTTTTGAGAATAACTTGCATTAAACCAATCGTCTCGTCTCACATTTCCTCTAAGAGTCAGTTGTGTCGCGCGATGGCGCATTTGCTATTTACATGGCGGACGCTGTATAAGTGCAAAAACTGAACGCTTCACTAGCGAGAAAACAGCAAAACAGAGTATCTGCATCTATATTTACTCTTTACTTACTCCTTAACTTTCGTGGATAAGAAAACAGTGTTGTACGCTGGTTTATGAGGACATGCCTGATGTCCTTATTAGGGTTGTGCCGATAGACGAAAGTATCGTGTATCGACGATAGGCAGACCTATGACGATTTTCAAGACAATATTTAGTTAGATTCGCATTAATGTAGACCTATTACCATGTTTTAATTGCATTATTGAATAAAATGAATGGTATTATTATTTTTAATCACCATCAGTAATAATAAATGAACTACAATTAATTTGAGCGCTTCAGCTGTTCAGATTAACATCACTTGACCGACTCTTTCAGATCAAAAATGAATTATTTGGATTGCTCTCTAGCGCTCTCTCTCTCTCTGTCTTAGCAGCAGCAGTTGAAGAGCGAGCTGCACGTGAGGGCACAGCCACATCTTATAGCAAATTCGTTTGCAACTTTGTTGCATAAAAATAATAGACTAAATAGCAAAACTGAATTTAATTAACAAACAAGTTAAATAAAACGGGTTTTAAAAATGAAACTACTGAAGAAGAGAATGAAAGAACTCTGAAACCAGCTCAAATAAATATTCTTTATTCAGGAATAAGACTTGTTGCAGTCATTTGAGACTCCTTTATAATAGAGTCTCTCTTGCTTTCACAAAAAGTTATTTATCTTTTATATCCGTTATTAAAAGCCTATTTACGGTTCAAAGTGGCCTGTAACCTATTTTATGAGGGCATGCATTGACTGCTCCTTCAAATACATAGAATACACATACTTGTCTTATTTGTGTTTAATAACTCAGATCTACCTAGCCTTACTGCCTAATGACTACAGCCCCATTGACACCCTCTGCCAATGCATTGATGAAATTAACAATTGGATGTGCCAAAATTTTCTTCAGTTAAACAAAGAGAAAACTGAAGTCATTGCGTTTGGGAACAGAGATGAGGTTCACAAGGTGAATGCGTACCTTGGCTCTAAAGGTCAAACGACAAAAAATAAGGTCAAGAATGTTGGTGTGACTCTGGAGTCAGATCTGAGTTTCAACAGTCATGTCAAAGCAGTCAGTAAATCAGCATACTATCATCTCAAAAATATTGCAAGAGTCAGATGCTTTGTTTCCAGTGAAGACTTAGAGAAACTTGTTCATGCTTTTATCAGGCCTCCTCACTGGTCTTCCTAAAAAGACAGTCAGACAGTTGCAGCTCATCCAGAATGCTGCAGCCAGAATTCTGACCAGAAGCAGGAAATCAGAGCACATCACACCTGTCCTCAGGTCTTTACACTGGCTGCCAGTCACATTCAGAATAGATTTTAAAGTATTATTACTGGTCTATAAATCACTAAATGGCCAAGGACCTGAATACATTACAGATATGCTCACTGAATACAAACCTAACAGATCACTCAGATCTTTAGGATCTTATAAACTAGAAATTCCAAGGGTTCAGTCAAAGCAGGGTGAATCTGCCTTCAGCCACTATGCCCCTCGCTGCTGGAATCAGCTTCCAGAAATGATCAGATGTGCTCCAACATTAGGCACATTCAAATCGAGACTGAAAACTCATCTGTTTAGCTGTGCCTTTACTGAATGAGCACTGTGCTGCGTCCGACAGATCGCACTATTATGTTTTTCATTTTCTTTTTTTTCTTTTTTTATAACCTATTTTAATTCATTTTAATTTGTTTTTATCTGTTTTAATAATTTTTATTGTCTGCATTTTATGTTCCTAAACTTGTCTTTTTTATTCCTGTTTATGTAAAGCACTTTGAATTGCCACTGTGTATGAAATGTGCTATATAAATAAACTTGCCTTGCCTTGCCTTGCCTTGCGTTAATTTGATGAAATGATAAACACTGACATCCTATTTTTCAGAAAATACCCTATTTAATTAAAAAATGTTAGGCCTATATTTATTTATATAGGCTATTAAAATATATTTTATTTATTTAAACTAGCCTACATTGAATTAAATTACAACTTGTATTTTACCATTCGTTTTGGTATTAAATAATTATTGAACAGATTATTAATAACTTATCAAATAACTTTTACTGAGCTCAGTGAAAAGTTTTAGGTCAAACAGGCTATTTAATATTGGACCAATAGGCCAGGGGTTCTCAACTGGTTTGGCCATGGGACCCATATTTTTACATGGTCATCAAGCCATGACCCAAATTAAGGAACTATAATATAATTTTAGAATTTATAATTAATTTGTATTTATTTGTTACCATACACAAGTAGTGCCAGATAAATCAGAAGAAAATCACCAAGACTTACAAGTAAACAATATTTTATTGCTGTAATTTAACAAAATGTGTCAAATTATAGAAATATAACAAAGTAAAAACGTCAAATACTGTGAACAGTGGTTAGGGTAAGGAAAGGTTCATTTACCATGAACTAAACAGTTAATAAAACTGGTTGTCTGGTTTCTAAATGTTGTTTTATTTTAGAAGGTTTCGTGCTGTCTTCTAAGAGCATCTCACTGCCTATGTCACACTGAGGCTTTGAGTCTTTTTTGCAGTCAATATATGTAAATCCATATTTTACATATTTGGGGTCGTACTTGCGCTTTAACATATTTTTTGCTATAATTAAATGAAATAATACATGCCAAACGTTGGGGTTGTCATGCATGCATTTCAAAATAAAAATCAAAATAAGTTACAAATTAAACTTTTGTTGTTGTTATTTTTTTTTGATCACACACACTCCATGTCTAAAATTAAACTTATAAAATTAAATTATCAGAAAACAATACACATATGCCAAGCGCAACATTGTGTTAGATCTTAGCAAACACAAATGTGACACTGTTGATGATTACTTTTGTGATGATTAGACCTGAAGCCGCGCTCAACTAAACAAAAACATGGAAAACTTCACCACATAGAAATGTGTGTGGGCGGCGAGTCCCGTCTGAAAGGACCTTAATGCATCCTTGTTTCTTCTGTGCGTAGATCAATATAATTTCATTTGCTTTCATCAATGTGTATTATATCCATTTTGCGGCAGTCCCGCGGGCCGCGTCCCGCTTGAAATAATTTTGATCTCATCGCCTATTTAGCTGTAAGAGCGCGGTGATTTGCATTGGTTTGAATTATTATACAATATCAAACATAATGCAAATCCAGTAGGATATTGAATAAGTTTAAGAAAAAATCAGCCGAAACGTTATTAAATATGCCTAGATACTGTCTGGTTAAATATATTGATAAAATATTTATATAAAAACAATACACAGCCATGCCCCTTTGCAATAGTATCGTGTATCGGCGATCTCACAGAGGGACTATATGGCGATCTGAAAATTTCGTATATTGCTCAACACTAGTTCTTATAATTCAAAATGCTTCAAAATCATATTTAGCGGGGTTTTTTGACAAAAAATTGCCGCAGGTTTCCTGTGAGGGTTGGGTTTATAGGTAGGACCATTTAATAAATGTTTTTTACAGTATATAATACATTACGCGTATGAAGAGTCCCCGTAAAGCACATATACAAGTGTGTGTGTGTGTGTGTGTGTGTGTGTGTGTGTGTGTGTGTGTGTGTGTGTGTGTGTGTGTGTGTGTGTGTGTGTGTGTGTGTGTGCATGTGTGTGTGTGTGTTTTGTGACAAATCAGGACTCAAATCTGTATTATGACACAGGTATTACACGAAGGTGGTGAAATATGAGGACATTGCTGATGTCCTCGTTTCTCAAAAAGCTTATTATTCACACAGAATGAGATTTGTTCATAAAGTAAAATAGCACACAGTTTCCTGTAAGGGTTAGGTTTAGGGGTAGGGTGGGGTTAGGGAAATAGAAAATACAGTTTGTACAGTATAAAAACAATGGAAACATATGTAATGTCCCCACAATTTACAAAAACAAACCCATCTGTGTGTGTGTGTCTGTGTGTGCATGTGTGTGTTTTACCTGGGTGGGAAAGCAGGAGGTGTGCAGAAGGAGTGGGCTGTAGGAAAGTGCTGTTTTTTCAGGGCCTGGATGAGATTGGGTCTGTATTCAGGGTCCACACACCACAGAGAACCCTTGCCGTTCACCTAGCAGAACCACACAAACACACACACACGCAGGGTTAATGAGAGAGAACAGAAGATGAGTTCAGCACTATAAAGAAACACATCTGAGAGACTGAAAGCATTGCCTGTGTGCTGAAGCCTATAGGAGAAATAGTGAAAATGAGCTTATCAATCAAGTAATGAAGGCAAACATAAACAGTTTCAAACATACACCAAACACCAAACAAACCATATAAAAGTAATAAATCATTAAAATATAAATAATATATATATTTTTATATTTATTTTATTAAATTACAAAAACTATAGTAATATAATAAAAGTAATAATAATAATAATAATAATAATAATAATAATAATAGTAAAAACATTGATGCTAATATTGATAATAATAATAAAAAATTATAATATTGATAATAATAATAAAAAATTATAATATTGATAATAATAATAATAATAATAATTATTATTATTATTGTTATTATTATTATTATTGTTATTATATAATGATAATACAATAATAATAAACAATAATAATATTAATAATAATGACAATAACAATAATGATAATAATAATAATGATAATAATATAAATAATGACAATGATGATAATAAAATAATAATAAAATATAATAATAATATTGATATTAATCATAATAATAATAACGATGAAGATAATAATGATATAATTAAAATAATGATAATAAAATAATAATAAAATAGAACAATAATAATATTTATATTAATATTGATAATAATAATAATAATAATAACAACAATGATAATAATAATAATAATAATATTAACAATAACAGCAATAATATATATATATATATATAACAGCACTATAATAATAATATAATAACATCACTAACGAGAATTTGAGACATGGTGCCTAATTATAAAATGCGTGCCTATGCAAACGATCTAATTTTTCTCAAGCAAAACAAATACCATTGCTTCTGCAGCATACACTGTATAAAAGGTTAATAAACATAGAGAAAGCAGTGCAGAAGGAATAGGTGGAAGGAGAGGAGGAGGGCATTAACCTTGACTCACATTACAGTTACCAGCAGGCTCATAAACAGGAAGGAGGAAACACTGCCATGGCAACCGAAACCAGGCAGTGTCATCTGATACTGGCTCTGTGTGTCTCTTTCCTGCTTTCTCTGTCTGTGTGTGTGTGTGTGTGTGTGTGTGTGTGTGTGTGTGTGTGTGTGTGTGTGTGTGTGTGTGTGTGTGTGTGTGTGTGTGTGTGTGTGTTCTCCACTACACAGACGGACACTTATAGTTGAAGTCTAAATTATTAGCCCTCCTAAGAATTTTCTTTATTAAATATTTCCCAAATGATGTTTAACAGATTCAGGAATTGTTCCACAGTATTTCCTATAATATTTTTCTTCTGGAGAAAGTCTTATTTGTTTTATTTCGGCTAGAATAAAAGCAGTTTTTAATTTTGTTTTGACCATTTTAAGGTCAATATTATTACTGTTGTGATCAATTCCCTAAGTTTGTGGCAATTGCCAGTGGAGTTTCCTATATGGGAGTTACCTCTGAACAAACTCCAACTCCCAGAAACCCCTGCGCTCATCAACTCTTGCAACAGTTGACAATAATCCGGAAACTCACACACATACACAGCTGCTGCTCATCTACACCTATTACAAGGACTATAAATACACCTCAGGCTTATACACACATTGCTGAGTCTTGTTTACTGTTACATTACACTGCGTTTCCTTTGACTTGCTTTGCCGTGTTTTGCCTTACAAGTTGCCTTATGGTTAAGGTTAAGTTAGGAAGTATAGCTAGTCCATGCTTTTATGACTTCTAGGCTGGATTACTGTAATGCTCTGTTTGCTGGCTGCCCAGCATCCTCTATTAATGAACTTCAGCTAGTACAAAATGCAGCTGCCAGAGTTCTTACCAGACATCACTTTTTAGTAAAGCATACACTCAGTGGTTTGATACATGAATGCGCTCCATGCAGGTTTCTGTAGCTAGTTTATATACACACTATGAACAGCAGCTACGCTAATGATTCTCTTTATTCTCTATTTCCACCTGGGGATACTCATCCCGATGCCCTCAGACTATGCAGCACCACTGATTCGATCAAAGACCAGCGACGAGATGATCCCACGATTTCCATAATCCTGGACCAGGTTGTATCCTAAGCAGCTGCTGTGGCGGTCATGGAGGAGTGGAGACCATGAGACTGATTCCTGTGACGCTCCAGGGACTGACGAGTCTTCGCTGAGGTCCAGCTTCCAGCCTCCGTCCACTAGACTGCAGCTCTGCACAAGACGTTTAGCCAGAGGAGAAAGGGTCGTGCCCAACTGAGCCTTGTTTCTCTCAAGGTTCTTTAATTCTTCACTTTCACCAATAGGTCAAGGTTTTTTCCTCGCTGCTGTCGCCACTTTTGGGATCTGTAGAGCTTCACATCGATGAATTTGCTCTTCAGTGTTTGGACTCTCAATAGTGATTATTAAACCACACTGAACTGAGCTAAACTGAACTGAACTTAAACACTAAATACTGAACTACAGTGTTTCAATTTACTATGATCGTCTATGTGAAGCTGCTTTGACACAATCTACATTGTAAAAGCGCTATACAAATAAAGCTGAATTGAATTGAATTGAATATTCATCATTTAATTTTGAAGAACACCACTTGGAGACCACCCTCTATGTTCAGTTGTGGCCTGTATTTATTTTTAATGTACGCCATAAGGGTGTCAAAGCTTAACCTGCTGCCATGCAATCAATGTGCTGTGTCTTTAATATAATGTGATCACCCGAATTTGAAACTGAGATTTTTCAGGACCACACTCGAAACCAAGGGGTACGGAAATTTCCCAGAATACACCAGCCACAACAGCAGTATGGCTGCACACGGAAGTAAAGAGATCCACAAATCAGCATTTTTTGTTTTCACAACAAACAAACACATGTTTTAAAATATTAATAACCGTGTTTGTGTTTTACCGTCATAAAATAAAAACAGCTAGATTTCGCTATCTATAATCCATAATAATAACTCCTGTACAGCAGTCCCACAACATTCTGTCACTCGATGACACTTGAATACCCTGTCAGAAAAAGTCTAATGGCTGGGAATTGGCTTTTTAGGCCCAATCCCAATTCTACCCTTTAGCCCTTTCCCTTACCAGTTCCCTTACCCAATTCTCTTTAGCTTTAAGGCGCAGGACTAGGGGAAAGTGGTAGATAGCCCTTCGAACTGATATTTTTCAGAACCACACTCGAAACCAAAAGGTAAAAAAATTTTCCAGAGTACACCAGCCTCAACGGCAATATAGCTGCACCCAGAATCAGGAGTAGGGAAGGGCCAGTATAAGATTCTGACAGTATGATAACCTTGTATAAAAATATCATGGTTTCACTGTATTACAGTATTGTGATTACTGCTCTAAAATATGTTCTTTTTCTGTCTGGGTAAAAAAACTAAACTTTTTTTCTCCTTTGAACACAATATATTTAATTTTTTGAAAGATTTTAAATATTTTGGAGCAGTAAACATGTCAGGCTAAATAATTAAAATGAATTATTGACTTCTGCCGTCTTCATTAGTTTCAAAAACACTGATTTCTTTACAATTTCAAACAGCATCTTTGGATATCTTTTCTGCTGGAGATACTGTTGTCCCCCCCCCAAAAAAAAAAATTAAAAACGTGGGTAAAAATATCAACATACCTTAGGCAGTTTTACAGAAAATTTTGGCGGCTTTAAAACCTTGAATTATCCACACAGCGGTATACCTTTAAAACGGTTATCATCCCATGCCTAGTCAGGGTATCCACAAATTACTATTTCTTGTCATCATTACAAATTTATACAACAAACAAGCACATTTAATATATTCATAACCGCGTTCATGTTTTACCGTCACGCTTTAAAAAAAAAACGATAAAATAAAAACAGCTAAATTTCGAGATCTATAATCCCTAATTCATCAACGCTTGACAGAGGGCGTGTCTGAAGTTGGGGCTGATGCTATCATCCTAGCAGTGTCAGCCAATGAAATTAGTCAGCAATAGGCCACAGTCTGAGCTAGTGTATTTGCATACAGCAATCTGATTGGCTGACGCTTCTGTTGCCGCTTGAAAAATAGAGCAAGTCCCAACTTTTGCAGCGAGCAACGCCACTGAAGCGGCACTTACGGATCCACAATGCAGTTCGGCAACACCTGACATCACCCAATCAAAGTGAATAGGAAGCGTTGAAGCTGACTCCCCATGTGGATGGGGCATTATAATAACTCCTATACAGCAGTCCCACAACATTCTAAGACTCGATGACACTCGAATACCCTGTCAGAAATGTCTAGTGGCTGAGAATGAGCTTTTTACAGCGCATACTATCATGTTAATGCTGCCTTTTGTGTGTTTACATAGATGAATATGGCCACTGTGTAAATGCGCAGTACAGTTACAATCTTATTGCCATATTTGATTGTCATGATAATATAATATATGCCTTCAGCGATTTCCAGAAGATAAATACCAACAAATAACACAACTAGAATCACTACAGCAGTCGCGATCGTCTGATCTCATATGAAGCAAGAGATCGCGATGACGTGATGACGTGTGCAGGTGCTGTAGTGCTGTCCCACTTCTTAAGGGTAAACTTTGAAGCTCTTTCCGTTCACACTCTGTTTCAAGGGCCAAAGGGAAGGGGAAGAGGTACAAAAGTAGAATTGGGATTGGGCCTAAAACAGTGCAGAAATGATGCATTATTGCGCATAGTGTTTTTCATGGTAACAGATAAAAGAATGCCAAATTTTGTTTTGTTTTCGAATAGTGTCTAATTCGCTCTTAATGTAATATAAAAGGTAATTTCTCCAAGCCACAGTTTACATGTAGGGCAGGGGTCACCAATTTCGTTCCTGGAGGTCCAGTGCCCTGAAGGGTTTAGCTCCAACTTGCCTCAACACACCTGCCTGGGTGTTACAAGTACCTAGTAAGACCTTGATCAGCTTATTCAGGTATGTTTAAT